TTAAAATAACTGCTCCATTTTAATTTCAATATCGTACCAACATTCTGTTGAAAACAACTGGAGTCCTACATTTAAATGCATCCGTCTATCACTTTTTTTTTTAATATGTTTTCATTTATAATTTCATGTTGCAAATTAAACCAGTATCGGCCTTAGACATTCGACACTCTTGGGCAATAACTTCATCTCCCCCCCCCCCCAAAAAAAAATTATTTCTTAAGCAGTTTTATATTATGTAATATTTTAATTTTGATTTCATTCGACATTTCACTAATACAGTTGTTTATTGATAGGATAAAATTAATTATTTTAATACCTTTTTGTATTTTTTTAAAAATTTCTTACAAGTGGCGAGCGTCCCTGAAGATCGCTCCCTCCCCCCCCACCAGGTCGGCGCCCCGGTTGCCTCTCCCTAAGGCCAGCATTGATTTAAACTACACATGAACTTCAGTCAAAAATTAGTTTTCGATCAACAATGATTCTAACACAGCCTAAAGATAAGTATCTAACAAAGGTGAAACATAGATACCTAACAGATAGATGTTATTGAATATGAGGTGATGTTAGGAATTTGATTAAAAATAACTTGCATATGCTGACTCTGTCTTCTTTTGCTTTGTTCTTTCGACCCATTCTGCATATGTCAAAACGAAAGTTGGTCATTCACATTTTTTTAACAATTGGCAAAAGTAGCTATTGGATAATTTATGGATCTTATATATGTATATATATACTTTTTTTTTTTTTAACGGCTATTTCTCATCCTCCATAGTTTTTACTTTAGCTTACCTATATATAAAATATATAGAGTATATATATATATATTTCATGGCGATAGTGACAATTTTCAAATCTGAGTTTTCAACGGAAATACATGTTTTTGAGGTCTCCTGAGTCCAAATAACCAAGTACCACAAAGTGGTCTGTGTAGGTGTGTGTGTGTAAATGTATGTTAACAGTCTAGATCAAAAACGAAAAGTCGTATGAAAGTGAAATTGCATATTTAAGATTTGTCTATATCTCAGATGTTAATCAACTTTTTCGTCAAAAACGGCTAACCGGAAGTGGCACTTTATATAATCAATGTTACACATTTTTACAATTTTCTCGCAAACGGCTCTATCAATTTTGATCAAACTCGGTATATCATTATATAAGTAAGTGGTCTTTAATATCATTTAGGTCTTATCTCCGTTGATGTCACTTTACAAGGCCTTAATGCCCAATGTTCGTATACGTCTTCCTCTAAAGTACATTTAATATGATTTATTTTAATAATTAACGATCTCTCATTATTAAGAATTACGAAAAAATGCTAAATATAACTTTTGAAAGAATTTGATAATTGAATAAAGGAGAAAAAAATAAAAATGCTTATCCAGGTCGAAAATGAATCTCCGGAAATACAAGAAAGAAGCTATACGTATAATATATCGTTGAAAAACGGAGAATTTTAGAAAAAGACGATATCTAATATACAAAGTTGTGGAAGGTAACGGAGAGTGACAAAAAAATTATAAATAATAATTTTTGAAGACTAATAATATTTAACGTAAATCACATGATTTCAAGGAAATTTGCTTACTAAATATAAACTTATAAAATATTTTAAAGTTTGAAAAAGTATTAAAAATTTAAGGTTTCAAGGCAATGATATTGTTTATGCTACTATTTCATTGTACTTGTGTGAATGAAGTTAAATATAAAATCATTTCATTTCATTTCATTTCATATGTTTATAACCTTAAATTAATTTACTGTAGCTTAATAATTCTAAGTCTGATATATTTAAATAATTAGGTATCTATCGTCCGTTTATTGAGAAAAGTCATTATGTAACCTTTTAGAAAATTAAATTAGTGAATAATTTGATGAATTTTTCCTGTCTATGACAGACTATGTAAGTCTCTTAATTCCATTTTAGTAAACTGTGCAATGGAAAATAACAGTTTAATAACTAATAGTCATACAATCCACAATCAACAGATTGTATAATCCATAATCAACCGGTGATATAATAAATAGGACTTTTGTTATTTTAGCTGTAATTTTAGCTGATAACTGTAATTTTCCTGGAGCCTCCCGACATGGAAGATATGGAAGACGCCATAGGATTCCTGAAAAACAATAAAGCCCCTGGGACGGATGGGATACCCTCGGAACTGTTTAACTATGGAGGGGAAGAACTCGCAAGATTTATGCATAATGTTATAATGGAAATCTAGGCGGAAGAAGTATTACCATATGATTGGTACAAGACAATGATCTGCCCCATCCATAAGAAAGGTGATATCTTGGATTGTCACAACTATCGTGGAATATCTCTGGTATCGTGTGCATATATAATTCACTCAAGAATTCTCTTTCAGAAGCTACTTCCGTTCGCTGAGAGAGAAATAGGAATATATCAGGCCGGATTCATGCGAGGAAGATCTACGGTCGACCTGATATTCGCTATTAGAACAATCCTAGCAAGGGCAAGAGAGTATAATGTATTCACACACTACCTCTTCGTGGACTTTCAGAGAGCTTATGATAGCATCCTTAGAGATGAGCTCTACCATGATATGTTGAGCCTGGGTGTTCCACCTAAACTTGTACGACTGATACAAGTGACAATGAAGGAGGTGCAATGCACTGTCAGAATCCAAGGCGATATGTCGGACTACTTTGAAATGCAGAAGGGACTGCGCCAAGGAGATTGCTTGGCATGTCTTCTATTTAACATTGCTCTCGAATGTGCCATTAGAGAATCCCAAATTCACATTGGTGGAACGGTCTTTAATCATTCAGTGCAGTTACTAGGGTTTGCCGATGACATTGCATTGATTGGAAGAACACGGGCAGCTATAAAAGATGCTTTCTTAGCGCAGCGAGCAAGGAGCAGCAGCGAGAATTGGCTTAAAGGTCAATGAGAAGAAAACAAAGTTTATGCGGGCCGACCCAAAGGATGCAGGCCACAGAGAGGCAAATGTAGAAATCGGAGGGATATCTTTTGAAGATATCTCGGAATTTATATACCTTGGCTCGCAAGTTAATCTAAATAACGATATGAATCCAGAAATACAGAGGAGCATTATGGCCGCAAATAGAGCTTATTTTGTTCTCCAGGGACATCTCAAAAGTAGAGTGATCTCTCGTAAAACCAAGCTGCTCTTGTACAAAATCCTGATCAGACCAGTACTAACATATGGGTCGGAGTGCTGGACAATATCAAGAGCCCAAGAAACAGCTCTTCTTCGGTTTGAACGTCGTGTGCTAAGAAGAATATTCGGCCCAATAATAAATATTAATCAGGAACGACGAATGCGATCCAACGATGAGCTGATGCAGTTATATAAAGAAGCTGATGTGAGGCTAATGAAAATTGGCAGATTGAGATGGGCAGGACACATTATCCGGACACATTGTCTGAACAACATGTGCTAAGGGAATTGATGGATGAGCGGATCTTCGCCACAAGGTGGGTAAGCAGACCAAGACTCAGATGGGCTGATGGAGTGAAAGTATCCTTGGTGTCCACAACTGGAAGGCAGCAGCATTACTTGGAGAGGACTGGCGGTTGAAATTAAGGGAGGCCTTGACTCTTCAAGATTTGTAGAGCCATTCATGATGATGATGATAATCAACAGATCGTACAATCCATAACCAAGGGATCATACAATCCATAATCAACTGGTGATACAATAAATAGGACTTTTGTTATTGTAATTGTATTTATGATTTGTTATACGTAATCTTTTAGCTTTAGCTGGACTAAAAATGTAAAGCAAAATTTGTATAATAGTCCAACATGGCCAGAAAATAATTTCTATTCAAAATTGAGTAGTAAGTGAAAGTTGTATGTTGGCACACCAGAATTTTTCATTTGATGACTTGATCATGTCACATTATTCACTTCTTGATATATAAATAAAAATAGCAGGGTCATTTAAAAAGAGAAGTCCTATGCTAATTGCTTTATAAAGATAAAAAAATATTTTTATAAAGCATTACCTTACATAAAATTACCTTTATTCAATATATAAAATTTTAGAAAAATTGGAAAGGGGCAACTTTGGGCAAAATTGATAACTTTATATTTAAATAAAATAAAAATTTCTCACATGAACTGTTTTAAGAATATTCTTAAGAAATAGTATAAGTTAAAACAATATTTTTTCTAAATAGAAATATTGAATTCTTTAAAGCCCTGCTTTTATCAACTGTGTATCTCATACTTAGTATAAACCATTATCATAAGTTTCATTCATTTTTTCTATATTGATACATTGTTTTTTTTTTTTTATTTATCTACTTTCATTATTGACTTGTTCAAAAATTTTCTTTTTATTTTATAGATTTCCAGAAACTAATATGTAATATTATATAAGTGTACCCATCAAAAATGAAAATAGTCTTAATTTAGTAATTTAAGTTATTGAGTGGTGTAAGCACAAACATGGCATACATATTCTTAATTTTTTTCCACGATTCATTGAAATAGTCATGCATACACATAAAACATTTTTGTTATAAATTTTTATCGACAAACCAAATCCTGGAATAAATAACCTGCTACATAAACAAAATAATGATATAATTTAGTTATTAATGCTAATAATTTAGTTATTGATATAAATTGTTATTAATGCTTAAAAAAATAATACTTAAAAATTATATAAAATAAAAGCCATGTCAAAATAAAAATTCAGCAAATAAAATTAGGATAACTAAAAGTCAATACGATAAAATAAGGAATCTATTTTTATTCCAATGTTGATAAAACTTTATTTAAATATGAAACACATCAAAATCATCGAATACCATCCTGAGTATTTGAAATGTTTTAATTAATTCAAATGATTGATAATCATATAAAAACTGATCATTGTCGTTCTAAATATGCAAATGGCAGGTCATGACTAAGAATAAGAGCAGTTTGACTTCCACCTCCACCTTCTAACATGATAAGGTAGCTTAAAGGTGGATCTTCATTGATAAGAAATGGTAACTCAGCCATGCAACACTTGTTATTTGTACTGTTCTCGTCACATCTGATATCATTTTCATTTGGACAGTAAGTAATCACTGTAACTTTAAGCTAGACACATTTTTAATTTACTATAATTGGTAGCATATCTATGTATATAATAAATTAGGAATGTCTCAGATTGACTAATGTACTTGTCACATTAAATGACTAATGATTAATAGTATTCTATTAAAATGAAAACTAAAGCAACAAAATGAAATAGAAAACAATTATTATTTATTAGCTACCATTAAATTTTAGATTTCTTTTTTTTTTTTTTTTTAATCAAGTGGTATTCTTGTAGATGTTTCTGAATATGTTAGGCAATCTTCATACTCTGATGTTCAGCCAAAAGCTTATGATTATAGCTTTGTAATCATTATAACATTAGAACATCAATAAAATAAAATAAAAAATTTAGTCTTTTCTTTTTGTTGATACAAATGGACTATTTCTTAGATTAGTCTCTATTTAATATAGATCCATCTCAGAAAAATGACATTTGCACTAATGAAACATGCAGAATTGTTTAGTACAAGATGACATAAAACTTTTTTTACCTTTTTTTTTTTTTTGTAATATCAAATAATGAAGTCTATTTGACCGAACTCTAAGAAATTATTATTATAGTTATGATTAACCTTATTGTTGTAGAAGAGGTTCTGAAGTGTTTAGTTAAAAATTTGTTTATTTTTTTTAAGAAGTTAGCAAAATTCCTAAAAGTAATTTTTTGTAAGAGAAATAATTTTTGGTTGCATTATAATTGAATAGTGTCAAATATAGAAATAATTTTAAAACAATCGAAATGGTGCATATTTATTTAATATTTTTAAAAGCCTGTGTCAGTGTCTATTAAATAATTTTGAGACTACTGATATCTAGGTTTTGAGACTGTTTGTACAAAAATTATCACCTCATTAAGACGACCTTATTCATACCTTAGTGTTTAAATTAACATTTGTTTGACTTGAATATAAATTGTAAAGAAATTGTTTCCTCATTTTTCATAAGCGTGAGCTTAACAAATAACTGTATAAATAAATAATAAATAATTAAGAACATTCTTGATTAATTTATAGTCATAAGATTGTTCTGTCCAAGTGTTTATTACATGTCTTAATTGGACTTCATAAGGTTAAAGTAAAAAACAATGAAAAAATCATTTACTCGTAAAAGAGGGTCCCTGATAATACAGAACCCCAAACAAAACATTGATTATGTTACCTAATTAAAGAAAAAATAAAATAATTACACTAAGAGGGGAAAGAAACTATGTTTATCTTTCCTAATACAGAATAATTTATTAAAACGTTTATCCATATATTTTTACCATATTACTAAAGATATCTTCCTTCAGAAATGTATATAGAATTTATAATGTATAATTTTTTTAACAACATTTAGCCCCACCTTATAATTAAATAATTTTCATCATTTTAATTCATTTCATCTCGTATTAATTTCATTCAAACAAAAATGTCAACAATATTTGACAGGTAGTTTAAAGTATTTTTAAAATACAGATACATATGATGAATACATGGATTAAAAATTATGGCTAAGGACATGATACAGAGAATTTTTATATCAAACTATTCAACACTTTTTTTTTTTCAGTTACGAAATTTAACATTTTTCACTAATTATAACTAACTAGTTTAACGGCACTGCAGCCTATACGCTACTACATATATGGAAATATGTATTAAAAAATACAAGCACACTGGAGGTGTTATAAATAAATGTAATTTGGGTTTTATGAACAACAAACGTTTAAGAACATCTCTTAATAGACTTAGTTTTTAAGAATTTTGTTTTCTAGAAAGGTACATTCGATTAATTAAAATGAAATATGATTAATCTATAAAAAGCATTATTTTTTTCAAAATTAAATTTTGTAATAATTTATCGGATTTATTTTTGTACACAACTAGATGTAAATCTCAACTTATTTCCTTACAAACAAATTATATCTTAAATAATAAAAAACTATACATATTTCCAATTAAAGTAAGGTGGAATTTTATTAATATTAACCTTTATTTCTTTAATAATATTTTTCCTAAGAAAAAAATATTTATTTCTATATTAAATTATATCCATAAAAATTCTACATCAATATTCACATTAGTTTAAATAAAAAATACTTGCATTTAGTTAGAATATTTGAAACTTTATAACATATTTATGGATTTATTTTAAACAATTTATGTTCACCAGTAGGACACTTAGCTCTCCACTAATTACATTAGTCTTTAAAAATGAAATGATTTTTTTTTTCATTAACTTATGTGTTTGACACAAAGACTCAACTGAAGGACATATAACTACAACTATTAACCAAGAAAATGTTATTTTTTGGCTTTCTTTTTATTTTTTGGAAGAAAATGGATCAATGCTCTTAGTTACAACTATTGGTTGGTACAATGTTCTCTCTCTTTTCTCGTGGTTATTTATACATTTATGCATATCAATTATATGTAGTTTATTGTTCAGCATTTAAACTAAAACGTTTGTGAAAAAAAATTAAAATATGCATATAAAATAAATGAAAAATTACATTAGAATATTGTATTAATAAATGATATATTCCGACAATGGCTTTAATTATTTCCAGGTCACAATGTGATTCATCAAATAATTCTGCTACTAGTATTTTTAAATTTTTAACCAGTGAACAACGCTACAAAAAATGGATGATACCTATCACCAAGAATGGAGACCCACCAGTAGTGAAGATAAAAATGTACATTTATCACTTAAATGCGAAGGAAACTTCCAAACTGGTAAGCATGGTTATTTTAATATAAAAACATTCATAAATACTCCTGAACATCTCTTGAAAAAAAAAAAAAAAAAATAAACAAAGGAAGAAAATTAGAATAGTTTATATTAGTGAGATTATTTTTCTTTCTTGCTAATTTTAATGTAATATCTTCAAAGTGGTTAACAGTGCACAGCACTAACGGATTCAGGATTTAATTTTGGGGGAATCTTTAGCCCAAAAGCTTTTTTTTCATTTATATATAACAATAATTAATTTGAAATATGCGAAAGAAGTTAACTACCTATATGAAATGGTGTTTACATGATTCTTGAAGTTCTATTAAATGTGAACAATAATACATTAAGAGATAGTTTTTAATATTCTTTTCTATAAAACATGTTTATATTTTACCATTTTGGGGGAAGAGGGAGGAGGCTTCAGTCTGAAACCCCCATCCTCCGCTCTCCTCCCCATAGATCCGCCTGTGGTGCAGAGTGGTTGAAAGGCGGAAAAAAAAAACTATTTTTTGAAGACATTGAAAAATAATTTTTGTCAATGATGAGGTACCTAAAATATTTGACTAATTCAATCGCTAAAATATACACTTTTAATGTTGTACAAGCCTTTCAAATCGAATAATGGAATAATGTTTGATTTACAACCAAAATTGTTCAACATTATTATTCTTATTGCCACCCACATTTTGTATGTTTGGTACGATTTCCCTTTATAATCATTAATAGCTATTCCAAATGATACACTGCGTGATAAAATAAATTATTTATTAGTATTTTCAAGTTCTCAAATATTTTGAGAAAGTATTGGGAAAAAATATTTTGTTGGTGCAAACCTTGTAGTAGTACACTTATTTTTTGTAATTTATAAAAAAAAATAATAATAAAAAAACCTGTACCACTACAACCCATGAAGGGTCTTGTGCAGGTGGCCAGGATCATGCTCAATTGCCTGGTTTTCCCCCTTAATCAATTATTTAACTTAATCAACTTACCCACTTTGTAGAGGCTGGGAGTGCCCCAGGAGGGTCTCCCTACCCCAGGGTCGCCCACAGCCAATGAAACAGAATAAATAATTTAACTGCCATGAGCCGGGATTCGAACCTAGGACCTTGAGATTGGAAGCTTAGTGCCCTACCACTGAGCTACCCCACTCCCTATTTTAATTTATATAGTTACATTAAATAATAAAACATGACATTTTTATCTGGAGATACCATTCTTGTATAAGATTCATTTTTTTCTTCAGGACATAAAAATGCAAGTGTTGCTAGAAATGAAATGGGAAGATCCAAGGCTGAGGTATCAAGAACTATCAAGAAATGTTACATCGATCAATGGTGGGAAATATCACATTGATTCTATCTGGCTCCCGCGTGTTATATTTACCAATGAAAAGGATTCACAAAAAATGGGCACCAACAAGAAGGATGATTTTGTCTCTATACTCCCTAGTGGTACAGTTCTTCTAACGACAAGGTTATCTGAAACAAAGGTCAAAAATTTCTCAGTAGTTTATAATTTTGTTTTCTAGTATTTAAGAAGACATTCTAGTTTTTAATCAATATTTTAAGAGATGTCATATTATTTTATATTGTGATTAAGCTCCTATTGTTCCGTCCTATCCGATGTTACCATATGATAATTATTACCAGGAGCGGATCCAGCATTTTATTACTTTGAGGACTTTTCTTTTTCATTTTTCTTTTTTTTTTTTCAAATAAACGTAATTATTCTGGAATAAAAACGAAAAAACACCTACTGATATGAAATAATGTTTTAAGTAGCCATTGAAGGCTAAGAAAAAAAATAATTATTACCACAACAGTAATGCTTTTAGAAATAAATTTCTTATAATTTTTCTTGAGACAAGTTTACATTTAGTAGCTATGTATGTATTATAATTTTAAAATAGAATATATAGTGATTATTTAAGTATTTAGCTTAGATTAATCCCATAAAAAATATGGATTGTTGAAAATACATATATATATATATATACATATAATGTAAAGTAAGGCTGTAGTTATTTCACCATGTTTATTTTCTTTTTTTATATTAGCTATCTTTCAGCTATGATGCCATTTTCAAGCCATCTTTAAAACCCACTTCATAATTAGATTCTTACAAAACTAAATTTAACATGATGTGATAGTGATGTTAGTCATCTCTTAGAAACCAACATTGTAAAAATTATAATCTTAATAGGGTTGGTCATAGCCGAAACTTAGCCAATGCAAAAAAAGAAATTAAACATATTAAAGAAATTAAACATGGTAGATTCCCATTTGATCAGCAAATTTGTCATTTAAATATGGAAGGTTGTAAGTATAATTTTTTGTTTATCTATTGGAAACATTAAACCATTAGTACTCAGAATATACCGGCAGATTTTCCATAATTATTTTGTAAAATATAAAAAAAAACTTTCCTACTAAAGTGAAATAAATACACCCTTACTTTATGTTATTAAAAATAATTTCACTTAAACTATTGCCATGTATTTATTGTCATACTAGTGATTAGCTCTTAATGTCCGAGAGGCTTCTTGGAATATTAATATCATAATATATTGAGGTAAGCTCACTGCCTCAGAATGAGGCTTATGTATATGAATATTCTTAGTTAATAGTAATATGATAAAGAATGTTTGCATTTTATTCCAAAAAAATTTCTGTATATAAATAGGTAGAAGCCATGTTTCTGGACAAAATGATTCAGGCACTTTTGTAATGGAAATTCTATTTTTATTTTCTAAGATAGATAAATAAAAGTCCACTAAGTTGGTGTGAGGGCGTGGTGTGGTACCATGCACCAATTGCATTATACTTTTGGAAAAGCGACGTAGTTAACGAAGCCTTTAGGCCTGAATTTTTGTTTATCTTCTCTACTTTCTGATTAAATTAATGTTCTAATTTAATACTTTTAAATAATACCAATTGGTTATTGTTAAACGTTCCCTCTAAATGATAAATCATATTTGGTTGTTCTAGTTCATAAAATATTTTTAAAAATTGATTCTAAGCAAAAATTATTATTGAGCATGAGATAAATTTTGTTCAAGAGTATTTCTGCGCCATGCGTCCAGATTATTGCTGATAGTTTTAGGTTTAAAAAATAATATAATTATTAATTTTCCTTTTCAGATTAATGACATCAATGGTTTGTCTGCTTGACCTTGGTAGATTCCCATTTGATCAGCAAATTTGTCATTTAAATATGGAAGGTTGTAAGTATAATTTTTTGTTTATCTATTGGAAACATTAAACCATTAGTACTCAGAATATACCGGCAGATTTTCCATAATTATTTTGTAAAATATAAAAAAAAACTTTCCTACTAAAGTGAAATTTAATGTTGCAATAAAAACCAGTGTCAGCCTACACTGACAGGCAAAAAATTCCACCCACTTGATTTTTCCATGTTTTCATCTAAAAATATTTCTGTAAAGTTGTATTTGTATATAATATATGGTATTTGTAGATAATACTTAGTATTTATGGAACTTTATAATCTTTTTTACCTTTAATAATAATAATAATGTGATTGGGTAAGAAAGGTTAGAGAAAAAACAATTGAAAAACAAACCATTATTATTCTAAAGGAAATTAATTACATCATCATTTAGTAGAGCATGTTTTCTCCTCTTGCCTTCACTACTTCTTGAAGACGCCTCGGCATACTTTCCACCAGTCGGGAAATGTCCCTTTGCTGGAGGATAGCCCATTCCTCCCGAAGAGCCCTTTCAAGGTCCTGCAGTGAAACCAGGAAGTGTTGCAGGCACTCTTATTCATTATCCCATAAATGCTCAATGGGGTTCGAATCTGGAGAACGTGCTGACCAGGCTAAAACCTCAATATTTTTCTGTTGAAGGAACGTCTGCACTATGCAGGCGACATGTGGGCGTGCATTAGAATAGAACAATCACCGATTTCTACGTCTTCAGGGGGTAGCATGTAGCAGTGCTACATCCTACGCCCTGAAGACGACCTGCAAAGTGGGTCGAAACGTCGGCTTAAATTAAAATAATTAATATATTTTAATTTATTATTTATTTGACCGCACCCTCGACTAACTCCTTCTCATATTATATCAACGGTCAACCATCTCTACATCATTATTTTCTTAGTGATTTTCTCTACTTAATTAATTAAGGTAATTCTAGAAGCTGAGATTTTTTTCAAAGGGGTGGGAGTAAGCATGATTTTGTCACTCAGTTCATACCTCTCCAAATCAATTTTTTTTTTTTTTTTTATTATTTTAATGGAATTTACAACTGTATTACATAGAGAATACAATAAGTAAATGAGAAATTGGTAACATGGCATCTACAACATGAAGAGAAACTACCCATTGGTAGAACTCAAATTACCAAGTCAATTTATATTTATATTTTAAAAACCATTATTAAACAGTAATATAGGTTTTTCTTATTAGAATTTTGCTTGAACTGTTGCTGTTCAATCAGCAAATGTTCAATCAGCTGTTCAGATCAAGTGTTCCCTTTGTCCATTCTTTTTCTAATCCTGATTTTTATGTTCTTATCTATCTTCAGTAAAATCGTTATATTCATAGATAATATATTTAGCTTTGTATTTCTTGGTTAATCTGTATTAATATTGTTGAAGAAACTTCTTATAGCTAGGCTTATATTTATCCAAAAATATAAACAAGCTGTTCTCCATAGGAAGGGATTCTTTAGTACTTTACGATGACGGCTGATTTTGATGAAACTTTGTTTACAGATTTGCAATAGGCCTGCTAATGTTCGCTAAGTGTTAAATAAGTTGAACTAATAGGAGAAGAGAAGTTTATTATTAATCGGCTGATTCTGTTGAAATTAGTAATACTATATATAATAGATAATACTATATATAAACTGCTCAATGAACTTGAAAGATTATATCAATACCTGTCCTAATCTCAAGTCCTTCTATCAAACCCCATCAAAATCCAATTCTACAAGATCAATCTTAACTCAATCCTCCCAAAAATGCCTCAGTTTACTCCTCTGATATTTACTGAAATTGAAAGTTAAACAAAAATATAAAATTATAACATAAATTGTTAAAGAAATAAGATAGTAATTATAAAAACTATCTTTAATTTTTAGTGACAAACAATGCAACAGGGATTCAGCTAGTATGGGATAAGAACACTCCTTTACAGATAGATGGCTTGGAAAGAAGTCTTATAGAGTTCAATATTTTAGAATTGAAGAAGATGACATCTAAGGATTTTGAGTACAGTCACACAAGTATGAAATATTATTATTTGCTTTCTTTTAATCCTGTAATCTATTCCTTGAGGTCAAATTTAATTTAAATAATATTATCAATTTTTTTTAATCACACCTTGCCAGTTATTTTGTGGCATCATAAAGATAATGCACACTTATCATTATCATAGTCATATATCAATGCTCAAGGTAGAATTCTATTTGAAACATTCATCCATCAACAATATTATTTTTTTAAATAGCCTTGCCTAAATTTTTTAATAGTCCTCACTAAAGGTCATCTTTATGTATTTAAGTATACAATATAATAAACAACATATAATTACAATTTAATATACACTGACAGGCTAAAAATTCCACCCACTTGATTTTTTCATGTTTTCATCTAAAAATATTTCTGCTTTGGATTGGTCTATTGTTTTTAATGAATAAATAGGTAATCTTTTTGTTTGTTTTCAATTAGGAATGTTAATATAAAAGACAATAACCCTTAATCCTTAACTCAATGAAATTATTCTAAATTCCAATGTTTACTTTCTATGGAATCAAAATGTTTATTCAGTATCATAAATTTGAAATAAATTTCAACCTGATCATGCCAGATTTGAACTAGTGCCCTTTCTGACTTGAGGTTGCAATTTTGAACTGCTTGAACTTGACATTTTTGTCCCCATAGTCTCTAAAAATAAGCAATCCTAAGTAAGCATGTTTCTTGTTTTATTTTAGGAGTTTAGATCTTAAAGTAAGTCCACAATCTAGTAAATACATTCCTGTAATGTATTTCAAATAATGGACTTTATTCTCCGATTAATAAGTATAAGTACTGAATAATGTACCTACACTTTTAATTAACATTTTTCTTAGTTTATAATTATCAATGATTGATATTTCTGAAAAGTATACTAGATGGCAGATATTTTTTATTTTTTTATTATTATTATTTGACAGATATTTATGTAATCTTCGTGTATTTCAAGATCCAGGAATCCATTGACACTTTTTCATCTACTATTAGATGATTAAAATTGATAAATTCCACCTCCTGCTCCATGGATTGGAGATAAAAGTGATCAATGACATTATTTTCTATTTACAAATGCCTATATCAGATCTAAGCTTAAGTATTGAAAAAATTGTGAAATTATCAGTAATCAATAAATCAGCAAGACTGAATGGAATCACTTAGGAAATGATGAGGACAGTGAAGGTCAGGAGAAGTGTGAACCTAGTCGGGATACTAAAAGATCTAGGAGATTGCAGCCATTTTGCCTATGTGTGCTAAGGCATGAATAGAAACTGCAGTAAGGATGTTCAGTTCAGTCAGAGAGGCTTCTTAAACCAAAGAGAGGTTACAAAGGGAATAAAGATGGCGTTATACAGATTAGTGTTCTTTCCTATTCTAAAATATTTTTTTTAAGTCATGGAAACTTACTTTACTTTGTAATACCAGTAAAAGATAGAGGGAAAGTTCAGGCAAGACAAGATTTGCAACATTACCATCCTAGCCAACCTCGAGGTCATACTGAAGAAAACCATTCTAGAAGAAAACATATTAAGATGGTCTGGCCACCTTCTCGGGATGGATGGGTGAAGGACAAATTATACTATGAGACCTCTTACTTCCAACCCAAGCATAAGATATTTTCCAATTAAAAAAAGAATCATTGATTTAAGTTTGTAAATAACATGCTTAACCCTTTAAGAACAGTGGATTCATGTATGAGTCAAGATGAAATTAGACCCAGATAATAGTGGACTCATATATATATATATTTTATATTTTATATTTTTTTTTTTGTTCTTCCCTACCTTGCCGTTTAGGCTATACGGGATTTCGCCAGGTCAGAGGGTGAGGGCGGGGAATTTAAAATCCTCTCCGACACCGGGACGCGAACTCGTACTTATTTTTGTCTCACAAAACTTCATATATCTGGTTGCCGGGCAACTCGCGGTGCTGTGCACACGCTTTAGCCCATTCGGCCACCCTGTCCCATTTGTGGACTCATATATGAGTCGAGAGCCAGTCGGGCTCTTTCTCTTTATATGACAGGATGCTCAGTGATCAATTCTACTTTCAAACTATCTCATGGCCTTCCCATGAAGCAGTAGGTTATTTTTCTATGACTGGAGTTTATAAACATTTTTGAACGATACCTTACATAAAAAAGCATAAGTAGTCAGTAGAGGTGATGAAAAGTATTCTATCCTCAAGGATGCTCTCACTCTTCCTGCTCATCTTTATTAAAAGGTTAATGGATTTCTAAGAAATTTCAACAAGGAATCCATTCTAAATTTATATGGATTAAAAAAAAAAGTACTAAAATAATTAATACAAAATTTTTCAATGACCAAAATGGTAATATCATAATTTAGTAATTTATGAAAACAGGCCTTAAGTTAAATTATTAAGCTGGATTACATATATTTTTGCTATGTTTATAGAATAATATTGTCATACACTGTATAATTTTGACAATCAATCAGGCCACCTTCTGACTTAATAATTTTTTTTTAAGTTCATACCTATTATTTTTATAATTGATAGATACCTAATTCTTTATTTTTATTTTTTTTTTTTTTGTTTCAGAACAAAAATATAGTAACTTGATATTAGAAATGAAACTCACAAGGCACTTTGGACATTATTTATTTAATTACTATTTGCCTAGTGAACTTTTGGTTATTATTTCTTGGTTTTCATTTTGGATAGATCCAGAGATTGTACCTGCCAGAGTAACTGTCGGTATGCTATTTATCAATTGATTAACTGCTTGTAAAAACTTAATTATTTTTTTTTGTTTAGTTTCCTCAAGAATTATTTTTTTTTATTTTATAATTTTATTGAAATTTACATCTGTATTACATTAAAAATACAACAGGTAAATGTGACATTGGTAACATGACATGTAAAATATGAAGAGAAACTACCCATTGGTAGAACTCAAATTCCTCAAGAATAAACATAATTTATACCATGTAATATATTAACATTTTTGTCAGTAAAACTAAAATGTTTTCAATGTTTTCATTCAAGTTTGTTTCATTTTATTTTAAGAAATAGCACAAATTATGAAGTGTTTCTTCCTAAAATATATTTAGTCATTTTTTGCAATTATTAACTATCTTTCTACCGATAGTTGAATTTGGTGGTAGTATTTTATTATTTTTGTTTCATTGTGAGAACCATGTCCCAATGTGATTTAACATTATCTTGTTTTATCAAGAGCTCTCTCCGATTAGCACGCAAATCCTTCTTGGTCCGCGGGCTAAGGGATGAACCTTAAGTTGTTTGATGCTTACTATTTCTGCAATTTGTTTCTCTGCCGAATGTTGATAATGCAGAATAAGTATTATTATTTGGTTACAGAGGTGCTTGTGCCATGATCAAAATATTCTCTTAACATTTTGTAAGATAGCTGAACTCGCCAACTCAACACATAAGAATCTAGATTATCCATCCCCATATCCAGAAGAGGGTGGCTTGGAGTTGATTTATCACTGAACTATTTTTAATCGGCAAACAATAAATATATAAACCAAGTCACATTACAGCCACCTCAGTCATTTGAAAAATTTTAATTTAAAAAAATCTCAAAATTGTGATATCAGACATAATCAATATTGTCATGCACCTTAGCTTTTTTAGTATACTTATCAAAGTGATTAAAACTCTAAAATGACCTGCTAACAAAAACCATTCAATTTTCAGGAGTTTCTACAATGCTCACTTTCATTTTGCTTGATGTGACAGGAAAAAGTGTGCCACGGACATCTCAGTTTATGGCCAATGATCTTTGGGCTTTTATATGTAATGCTTTTATGTTCCTTTCTCTTGCTGAATTCGCTTTTGTTAATAGTATCGATAGAAAGAAAGGGTATGATCTTTTTACCATTATTTTTACTAGTAATATACGTTAGTGTTACTCGAATGAAGCTCAAGCAGATGAAGGTGACAACTGATATTTTTTATAAAATTGAACTATAGCTAAAGGTGGAAAATCATGGATTTTTAATATTTACTACTTCAACCCACATAAATTCAGTATTGATTTCAGAGCTGTTGATGAAAGGCCATAAAAATTAAGATTGGCACCTGCCTTACTTCTGAGATAAATGTGATTTGAATCCAGTTTTCTCGGAACTCAAAAAATCTTACTTAGCACCTTCATCCCCTTGATCCTTTAATTGAATTGCTTTTTCTTCTTCATCTAAAATTGATGATTGTTTGTTTAGTGCTTAATCTTGAAGATCAATAAATTTTCTCTTTCCTCATTCATGCTTAACTTTTCTCTCTTATTGTTCCATTTTCTTCATTGACTTCAATTCTTAATGTTTCACTTTATATTACACAATGGAAGTCAGATCATTATTTTTAAAATTTTATAATTGAATAATTTGCTTATTGGTTTGAAAAGGTATTTGATTTTTTAAATACTTCACTACTGTTGGTTAAGAAATTAGTGAATTGTGGAAGTTTGGTGTAAAGAAGAATCATAAATAGAAAATCCAGAACTCTATTCACTTCTTAAATTCTGGAACATAATAGAATTAATTCTTTTGGCACTGGCAATGAGTTGGTGTGTTAATCTTATTTTATATGGCCAAACTAGCATTTATGAATATATATGTTATGCTGAGTTGTCTTGCAAGTACTTTAATGTTGGTAAAAAAATATTATTTTTTTTTGGTAGAGGAGTTTTATTAGAAATTGAACTAGTCTAGTAAGTAGACATATAAGTCTTTTTTGTCAACTCTTGATAGCTAACTTTAAATTGTTGTTCAGTCCTAATCATACTGAGGGTATCAATATTCTAGATCTAATGACAATAAACCTAATGATAAAATGTAATGAGACTATAAATGAACAACATAAAAGAAAATTGCAAACTATTTCATGTAAATTTTTAAATGAACTGTGGCAATTTGTTAAAAGCGGTTAGCAATAATTATTATAGCACAATATGTTAAGAAGATGCTTTTAGAAAAACCTAAACATTGAATGATTATCAATTTATAAAAATATGTTTAATAATTTATTTATTGAGAGTTGTTGCTGTATTTAAAATACAACAATAAATTTGCTGATTCAGATCAATGGGACTTTACAAAAACTTTTGGAGAAACTATCCGTTGTTAATAATCCAATGATTGTTATTGTGAAAAAAAAGGTCATCATTCATAGATTTTTTTTTCAGGTACCTTGTGGAATGACCTGAAATATATTGAATTATTTAAAGTACAATCTATTGGATTAATGTGTCTAAAAGACTATAACTTTATTTTGTAATTATGTATATCTGTTACTAGACAATAGTTTATCATTTCATTTCAATTATTAAATAATATTTCTCACATTTATCAAATTTTTATTACATCTTTTCAGTGTTGAAAAAGTTCACCTTAAAAAATTGTCGAGCAAGTATATTCTACGTGGAGGTGTTGATACAGCAGCTGGTAGGGCAAAACTTAGAAGATCATCATCTTGTCCTTCATCACCCGAAATACGTCGTCATTTTGCTCGTAATCCTAAAGCTGCACAAACGACATTTAAGGTATATTATCAGTATATATTATAAATAGTTTATAATGACTATACACAAAATGGGGTTAGTGCTGCCAAAGTCATAGATTTAGGAAGAGTGATACTTGCTTTTTCTGTGAATACTTTCTGGCTTTTAGTTTTTCCTGAATACCTATTCTTCATTAGCTCTGGTACTCCAAATATGGGACAATCTTCAGGCATCCTGAGTATTGGTTTGAGTTCATTCTTTAGCTCCATTTGTTATTCGGCTTCCTACCTCTTTCTTTCTACTTGATCCCTCTATTGTATGGTTTCATTTTACTCTCTGACAGAGTTTGATCCTAAACAGGGTGTCTGACAATCGGCTTCACTATAGTTTCTGATATATATTTGATGAAGCTTTGATGTCTTATATCTACTACCATATAGTCAATGGTGGTTTTTCGTACAATTAGGACTTGTCCAAGTATAATTTTAGATGTCCTACTTTTGTAATTAAATTGTATAAATGAATTTTAAATAAACCTTTTTGTGTATATCTTTTACATATTCAATTAGACTGTGAAAAGCTTTTTATTTACACTTTTTTTTTGTAATTGTTGTTTTCATTTTATATTAACGTTGTACAGACTAAAGAATCATAAATATTTTTCAGCTTTTAACATTATTTAATTTTAAATGAAAAAGTTCTAAAATTAAAAATTTACTTATTATGTAATACAGTTTTTTGTTGTTTTTTTCGCCATGTTTAATGTATTCAAATATGTAATGTATTCAATTGTTTTCTTATCATCATATTTTCAAATATGTATATCCATAGGCCAAAAAAAATCATATATTTTAAATATTATATATGTATATTCTTGTTTTTTCTGTCCTGATGCCTGAATTAATGAAATTTTCGTTTTTTTCATTTTTCGTTCTTCCTTTACCTACATTTTTTTTTTTTTTTTAATTTTATTTTATTGAGATTTACAACTGTATTACATGGAAAATACAATAAGTAAATGTGACATTGGTAACATGACATGTACAACATGAAGACAATCTACCCATTGGTAGAACTCAAACCTAAATTTTAAAGACATAAAAGGATGTGTGGTAGGATTTTTCCAATTTTTGTATCTTGTTGAGTTTTTACTAATTCATAAACCATATCCATTAAATATATATTATTTAATTTTTGTTTATTTTACAGTAATTGGGTTTGTTAAAATGAGCGATAACAAATAAATTTGTTTGTTTCAAAAGAAACTTTTTCACTTATAGTTTTTAGACTTAATATCAACTTCTGGCACATGATTACTGGTCCATCGCCCCCCTATCTGTGTCGGAATGCTTTACTACTAAATACCAATCTTAACTGTTTTGATTCCCTTAAGAGTTAGGTTTACCTAGAATCCCACACTTATTTATATTTGTATGTAACAGTTTAATTAGTAATTAATGCCACTTGCTTCACTTAAGCTCTATCAGTAGTTATGCTACAGGTTCACATTTTAACTATTAATCTTTCTTGGGCATTATATTTTACAAAGTGTTGTTACCATTGTTATAATTGGACATAAGAGAAAGAAACAAATTAGTTAAATATAATAACTTTAAAATATATATTTGATACCATTGTTACCCTAAATATTATGGTGGTGTCTTACTTATCCCCACATATATTATTACAGTAAGGCTCAAAATCGATTTTGTACCAAATATAAGCTCCTGTTATACTCAAATACCATGAATGGGGTACCGTAGGATTCAGAATTTCATGGGGGGTTAGTGAATCGTATTCTCCACTTTTGTTTTTCTTTCTAAAATAAATAAAGTCGATACAAACATTTTGCTAGGCTTCAATTCTGGAATGGTGATAGGTCTGTAGATTGATACGGGACAAATTGGACCTTGAAGATTTTGATGCGTACAGCAAGACCCGGATAGTTCATTCGGAACTATCGGATCCTGCATTTTTAAGCCCAAAAGCGTACTATTTTCGAGATAACGCAAGGCATAAGGTTGGCATTCATACAACCTTACATTAATTGTAGTACTGTCATCAAAATAAGACCATTTTTAGCAAAGATACATCTTATTGAAATTTGTAAACATGCTGGTTCCAAACAATAATGAAGTTTTATATTAATTTTTTATTCCTTTGTCGATAATATTTATCGATGAAGTAACAATTGATTTCTTTATCTTATGATACGTTGCATTATTTTTTCTTAAAGGCATTTTTTGTTGGTACATTTTATTTTTTTTTTTAATAACTTAGAAAATTTCATGATCAAGGCTTTATTTTAAATATTACCATTCCCATTGGCATTAAAAATAGGCCCTAGAAAAATAATTTGTACAAATATTTTGATCTATTTTGTTAAATGAAATTATTGATGGAATAAAGATTGATTTGATCATAGGGACATGATAGAATTTAAAGTAATTAAATAGATAAAATAATATGAAAAAGATAAGAGTAAAAATAGAGAGAGATTTAATAATAATCTAAATGAGTAACAATTATTTAAATCACTGTCTTCCTTTGTTATTAGTTTTACTATTTATCTATGTTCTTATTTCTTCTGTAATTTTATCTTGCTCATATTTATATCTTTTATATCTCTGATTAATTTTTAACCATGAAGATGACCCATATGTTTGGATTAAAACTTCAGCCCATGTAAAAAAAATTACTTGCTGATTTCATGACTATTAACAATAATGTACCTCACGGTCAATTATTTCTTATCTATTGCAAATTTATAAGGGTTTTTTTTATGTGTGTTTTGTATTATCTTTTCAAAAAACATTAATAAATGCCAATTTTTTTCCTATCTTTATTATTATTATTTTTTTTAAAGGAACTAAAGGAAGTAAGTATTTCACTTGGAAATCTTGTATTAGCTGCTGGGGCTGACAAAGAAACAAAAATACAAGACACTGGTAACTCACTCTTCACCATGACTCCCCAAGAGATAGCTAACTGGATTGATGCTAAAAGTAGAATAGTATTCCCACTTACCTTTTTTATTTTTAATGTAGTTTATTGGGTTTCATTAATAGTCGTTTAAATGATACTTAATTAGGAAAAATTTAGATCTGATATAATCAGATAATGTTATAACTGGAGACTGGATTTTATGCAGTATAAAACCCTTTAACGTGCGTATAAATACCGATCATTTGGCTTAGTACTTGACTAAGCAGTGAACTATAGAACAAGTTTACTCTTAGGCTAAACAGCAACCCACAGTACATATTTCAATTATTGAAATAGTTTCTATTTTTAGTTTAAGTTAAATTAAATCAAAGACCATACTACCCATTGTTTAGAAAACAGCCCTAAATGTTTTAACACAGGCAATCCTTTTTTTATGTATTACTTAAATTTATGACAGTAACAAGAAAATTTACAAATTAAAGAATGATACTTTTCCATAAACAAAAGAGAGTTGTTTAGTTGTTGATATAGATCTTTCAGCATCAACTAGGTTAAAAAGATTAAATTACTATATGTGCTCAAAATTAAAGAATCAATATGTGCTTGTTATTTAAAATCTCTCTTGTGTTTATTTTTCAAATTTTTACTTTTATATTAAAATTAAAATAGTTTATTATAAATCTGATATGTTATACATACTCAATTATGCAAATTAAAAATAAGTGTCATTATCTATTAAGAATTGATACTTTGAAAGTTGTATTAAAAAATCTCTGACAAGATTGTAAAAAATGTGGTCTCTGGTTTGGTTATAAAACATTGTGATTCTGATTTTTGTATTATAAATGTGAATAATTCAATTTATTATAACTACTTTTAGGCCTCTTTATTCATATTGAGTTTTGAATAATTTCACTTTTATTTTTTATAAGTGATGCATAAGTTTATTTTCTAATTAAGTATTAGAAATAATAATAGTATTAATAGAAATAGTAATAGTATTAGAAATTATAAATGTGAATAATTCAATTTATTATAACTACTTTTAGGCCTCTTTATTCATATTGAGTTTTGATTAATTTCACTTTTATTTTTTATAAGTGATGCATAAGTTTATTTTCTAATTAAGTATTAGAAATAATGCAAAAAAATGAGGACAAGTTTGGCTCATTATTTACAATTATTATAAGTTGTAAATATCTATTATTGCTATAGTTTTAATTTAAGAGTGTAGTTTTTGTAACTTAAATTATTACCTGTTAACAGGATTATTAGAAATGCATTTCGCAGTTAATGTAAATATAATCAAGAATAATTTTTACAGGGTTATTAAAAAAATAGGTTGATATTTAAATTAATATTCACCATTATCATAGCTGTGTCATTTACATTATAAAAATATATTAAACTAATATTTTAAAGCAAAAATATGGTTCATTTATTTTTCATTTGTTAACCAGTTTCTTTTAAAGAATTTTTAAGTTTTGCAGCCCATTTAAAGTTGCAACATTATTCCTAACCCATTTCCAGAAATATTATTCTATAATTAAATATTCACATAAATTATTGATAAGCATTAATCACTTCTAAAATTTTAAAAATTCTTCTAGTCCTTAATGGAAAGCTTTTCTTGTAGTATATGATTACCATACCTACTGGTAAGGGTTGCCCATCCTCCTTCCCTCCCACCCCCTCTCTCTCCCCTATGGAGGTGATGGCACAAGAACCTACACCCCCTCCTCTCCCAAGATATTTTATTGCTTACTTTTCTAAAAAACATAGCAAAAGAAAGTAGAATTAGAAAAATAGTATATCATATACAATTACACTAGCTGTGGTCTGTTCCATGTTTTCCCCTTGTACCTCAATCTGAAACTTTTTATTCCAAAAATTCATAACCCTATCAAAATATGCCCCCTCAAAAATTTTTATGGCGCAACTTACTCCATGAAACTCTCTTTTGGGCATCCCTGCCTACTGTACACAAACCTCTGCCACTATGCTACATCTACAGAAATTAGGACTATGATTGGATTTACATAAGCCCCTATTTGCTATTTGATACTTTTATTTTTTTTAATTGTTTATCAATAATGATGTGCAAATGATATGAATGCTCCAGGGAAATGTGGATTATTTACTCTATTACCAATGACTTGGCCTAAGTGAAGGCCAATCTTAAAACCATTTCTACATTAATCTTAGAACCATTGTTTCATATGGATATGCAACTATTGCTGGCTGGGCTGATGCATGATGAGAGGAACATATCATTTATGAGTTACCAAAAGAAAATTGAACTCTTAAAAATTAATAATGAGTACATATCTGATTTTCAGTTTAAAAGAGAATTCCCTTGAATTTTACAAAATCCTAGTATGATTTTGAAAAAAAGAACAATTTTACATCACTAATATTACAACAATAACTTTAATGAATTGTATAATTTTTTTGCCATTAAAATTTGCTTCCATCATATTTTTGCTTAACCTCAACAATGTTGAGATCATGCTTCAAAAGGGTCTTAAGAAAGAAAAAAAGAAAAAAATCTGGTGCGTGCTTCACACGCCTTTCACTCTTCTAAGCAGAAATGAGTATTTTCAGATAAAGGGGAAGTGAATATAAAAATT